GGCGCCGGCCATCTCGGCTGCGCGCTGGGCGGCGGCGGCCTTGGCATAGGGGCTGGCGGCCATTTTGGTGGCGAGGGTAGGATCCTGGAGCGTCACGTCGCGCGCGAGGTCGGGCATGCCCCGCTCTGCCTCGCTCTCCTTTTCGCCCTCTGCGAGCTTGTCGATGCCCTTGAGCTTCCGCTTGACGCCGGCGACGGTGCCCCATCCGGCGCCCCAGATGTTGCGCCAGAGGGCCTGGGCCATGCGCACGTCGCCGCCGACGAGGCCCTCGTCAAACGAGAGGATGCTGCCGCGGTGCTGCTGGTGCATGTCGCGCATGTAGCCCTTGACGAGGCGCGACGTCTGGACGCCAAAGCGGTCGCGCATCCGCGACTCGGCGTCGATGAAAAAGTGGTTGATGAGCTCCTGCGAGTAGGTGCGCGCCTCGTCGCGCGGCAGCGCCCGGAAGCGCACCAGCAGCAGGTAGATATGCAGGTTGGTGATCTGGAACCACGTCTGGTACGTCTGCGGCAGCGCGCAGTCTGGCGGATGGGGGAGGAGGGGGGCGAGGAAGATGCGAGGAGCGAAGAGACGAGGAGGGGAACGACTACGTCAGCAGCGCAGGGGCGGGGAAGACTAGACGCGGACCGACCCGGGCCAGGACTCACCTCCGTACCAAAAGTTGCGCTCGACGTGTGCGCGCTCTGCGCAGCGGTCGTAGAGGTCCGAGGTGACGCGGATGGCGGTCGAGGAGAGCGAGTTGTAGCCCATGAGCTTTGCGAGGCCCTTTACCACCGAGACGGTAAAGGGCGAGTAGGATTTCTTGGGGAGGGCGGGGGGCGCCGAGGGCGAGAGCTGGGAGCGGTGGAGGAGCGGTGCGGTGTGGGACGCGGGCGTCTTGGACGGGTTGGAGCGCGGCGCGGGGCGGGATGCGTCCGTGCTGCGCGCCGAGGTCGCCAACCGTGCCGCTGTGGTTGCAGAGGGACGGAGGTGGACGAGGGCGCCGAGAGCCTGCGACGAGGCCGACGATGAGGCGAGTCGAGTCATGGCGTGGCGGGCGGACTGCGGGTCGAGTGAGCGGCGGCGAGTGGTGTAGGTGAGGACAAAGTCGGTTGGGAGGTCAGCCGCGGTGGTGGTGGTGGTGGTGGTGGTGGTGGTGACCGTGAGAGGATGGTGAAGACGCAGAGTGAGCTTGCCCAAGCCGAGGAATGACGGCGGTGGAGCGAGGGAGGAGGCGCTTTTGTCAGCGCCGCTGCCACCCCAAAAAGCGATCGTCAAGAAGCCGAAGAAATCACAAGTGGAGAAGAGGGAGGCCGATCCGACCCTTGGCCATCGTTCCCAGTCGTACCCGATCGACGCCCGGCATCGGGGCCGGCTCGAAGCGCGGCTAAAAGTCGCACAGAGCGGCGCAATAGCCGAAAGGGGGCTCAGGCCGCGGGGACCAAGCCGAGGGCAGCGCCCCGGGGTGAGCAGAGGCCGGCGAGGGCCCCCACCAACGACGTCGGGCGGGTCTGGCCGCTTTTGCCCTGGCCTGCCCTACCTGCTGGCTGTCACTGCCACTGCCACCACCACCACCACCACCACTGTCGTCATCACCACCATCTACGCCTCCGACACGGTCACCAACGCCCCTGCCCAACCTCGCACCTCTCCCGCCCTTTGGCCGCCGGGCATGCGTGCACGCTCCGCCACCCTCGCTGCCACGGCGGCACGGCAGAGGGCGGCCCCAGCACCGCCATCATCCTCGACGACCCTCATCAGTGGCGCCGCGTCAATCTGCGCCTCCTCATCTCGGCTACCATCGCCTTCAATCGCCTCGTCGCCCCTCCGGCACTGCTACGCCACCTCTGCGCTGTCCTCCTTGCCGCCGCAGGCAGCCAGCTCGCCGTTGCGGTCAGCCGTCGCACGCCGGCGGCCTGCCCGCACCGCGCCTTCATCCTCGACTCCGCCTCGGCAGCCCCACCGCGTACACCTGCGCCAGTACCACGACTACATACGCACCCTCTCCCCCACCGGCGGATCCGGGCGCATCTCGCTCAAACCCAGCCGCACGGGCGTCTATGGCCTCGCCACCTCGCGCGGCACCCGCGCCTACCAGGAAGACACGACCTCGGTCAGCTGCGTCTCCCTCCCGCCCGCCGTGCTCAGAGCCTCGTACCTCGCTTCCTCGTCCGCCACGCTCCGCGACGTCGCCTCCAAATGGTCTCCCTCCACGCCCGCAGAGCAAGAGGTGGCGGGCCAGCTCGCCTGGTTCGCCTGCTTCGACGGCCACGGCGGACAGCCCGTCTCCCAGTTCCTCTGCAAGGAGCTCCACGCCATCTTCGAGGACGTCCAGGAGGATATGGTCACCGACACCGTACAGTACACGCGCTCCCTCGGCGGCTACTTTCGCCGCTTCAACGGCGGGCTGCTCGAGAGGTGGGTGAGGAAGGAGGAGCTCAAACCGGTCAGGGCGGGCGCAGGCCACCCGAGGGCAACAATGGCTCGGGCCGCAGCGGCGACAAGACCGACCGGGGATGCCAAGGGACCCGCCGTCGATGCTGCGGAACGGACAAAGGCCGAGGAGGCAGAGCGGCAGAGGGCAAAGGAGCGCGAGCGCGAGCGCGAGGCCGAACGGAGCAAGCCAAAGACGTTTGCCGACCTGGTCAACAGCGCCAAGGCGGGGCCAGCGCCGTCGGCCACGCAAGGGACCGTCGGCAGCGGCAGCGGCACAGTCTCGGCCGTAGAGGCCTCGGCAGCCGGACAGACAGCCGGGTCACGGTCAAAGGAGGAAGCGGACAATGCCCCACCGCAACTATCGCAGCAGCCGGCGCTGATCCACTCGGCGGAGTCGAGGGGCGAGGTGCCACTGGCCGGGCCCATCGAGGGCGCACAGGGTGCACGGAGCTCACAAGATTCGTCGGCCTCGCCGTCATCGCTCGACAGCCAGCCGAACTCGCACCCCGCGTCGTCGCCGCCCAGCGCCGCATCCGAGGCGCGCGCCGGGCTGACGAGCCTGACGCAGCGGATCCCGCCGCCAGAGACGCTGGCGGAGTCGACACTGACGCTGTCGGAGCGGCTGACGCTGGCGTGGCTACACACTGACCGGCTGATCCACTCGGACCCGCAGCTCGACGTGGGCGGCTCGACGGCGTCGGTGGTGCTGCTCCACTCGCTCGACACGCCGACGCAGCCCTTCTACTCGTCGTCGTCGCTCTTTCTCACGACGGCGCACATTGGGGATACGCGGATGCTGCTGGCCTCGGTGTCGGACGGTACGGCGATACCGCTGACAAACTACCACCACCCAGACGACCGGTCCGAGTCGGAGCGGCTGCGCAAGATGGGCGCCGGCATGATTACCGACTCGTTTGGCGAGGCGCGCTGGATGGGCGCGTTGGCCAACACGCGCAGCTTTGGCGACAGCAAGTTTAAAAAGGTCGGCGTGACGAGCGAGCCCGAGATTATCTCGCAGCTCGTCCGCGGCGACGACTATGCCTTTGTCGTGGCGTTTAGCGACGGAATCGGCGGCGTCATGTCCGACCAGGAGGTGGTGGACCTGTGCCGCGACGCCAGGCACCCGCACGATGCGGCGCACCGCGTCCTCCGTTTCGCAGAGGAGCTCGGCGCACAGGATAACGGCACCGTCCTCGTCGTTCCGCTGCGTGGGTGGGGGCGGATGGGCGGGCAGGATTCGACAAAGCAGAGGAGAGAGTTTAGGAGGAGCAAGGTCGATCTGTACAGGGATAGTCGGACGTGATGCAACCGAAAGCGCGCGCCCTCTCTCTCTGGACTGCGAGGCGCGCAAGCTGTGGCGCGGCGGTGGTGGCGGGGCACCGCGCCGTAAGTGTCCCTTTGACTCGCCCGCGGGCCGGGGCGGACGAGCGGTTGGCGTTGACGACGACGACGACGACGATGACGACGACGACGATGACGACGACGACGACGATGACGACGATGACGACGACGACGACGATGACGACGACGACAATGACGGACGAAGACTAGAATGGCAGGTGCGTGCCATCTGCAAGAGCGGGTCCGCGAGAGGCGAATAGGCGGACAAGGTGACAGCTGGTCAGCCAGGAGGGATTGCCGGATCCGTCGAAGCCGTCGTTGTGGAGCCAAGATCAAGGGAGCTGAGAGGGCCGTCTTGCTGCCGATCGCCCCAGCCACCACCACCTGCTTTCCGGATCACCTCCATCGCTCCTTTCACTGCCCACCCTCGACGGCCTTCTGCTTGCCCTTCTTGTCCGCTTCGGCGGCGCGCGCGGTGGTGGCGATGGACTCGTCGTCAGAGGCCAGCTCGATGGCGTCGCCGTCCTGGTCCTCGTTCGCTCCGTCCTCCTTCGCCGCCTCGCCCCTTGCCTCTTCATTCTTGGCCATCTCGCCCTTCCCGCCGTCGTCCTTCAGCACCTCGTCCTTGTCCCCCTCGTCGTCGGCTACCTCTGCCTCAGCCTCGCTTTTCTCTCCCTCTGCCCGCGCCTCCGTCTGCGCCGCCAACGGTGCCGCGACAGCCTCCTCCGGCGCATCCGTCTTCGTCTCGCTATCCGTCTTGGCGACGGTCGGCACGTCGGGGAGCGGCTCCTTGGACAGGTCCGCCTGGGCCCTCGACTTGGCCTTTCTCGCCATTCCGGCCCGGCTCAGCTTGCGCAGCAGCGTCCTGGCACGCTTCACCGGCGTGGTGGCGTCCGGGTTGTCCGGCAATGCAGCGGTAGCGGCGCCCGCGGCCTCTCCGTCCGTCTGGCTCGTCGCGCCCGACGACTGCGCCGATCCCGCGCTGCTGCTGAGGACTCCGCGGTTGACGTGCTCGAAGCTAGGCTCCGACTGGCCCCGCTTCGTCTTGAAGAGGTCCACGGCCGCCCTCCACGGCGACATAGGAGGCGTGATGGGCAGCGTCTCGCGCGATACATCCTTGACTGGGGCGCCCTCTGCCAGCTTGTCGACCTCAGACGGCACGCCAGCAGCCTCGGCAGAAGGCTGTGACGCTGCAGTCGATTCCTTTTGCGCGAGCTTGTCCATCAGGCTGCCCCGGGCGAAGACGACGGGGCCGGGCGCTGCGTGGCCGCCACTCACCTCGGCTGGCTGGTCGCCTCCGGGCACAGCGGCGGTGGCATCAACGCTGATGTCGGGGTTGGACTTGCCGCTCGGACGCTTGAGGCCGGAAAGGATGGCGGCGCTCAGCCTCTTGGAGAGCTTGTTCGCACCACGCTCCTCCTGCGCCTGCCGCTGGCTCTCCTTGGCGTCGGGGCCAGGCGTGTTCGCGTCACCTGACGCAGCGGTACTTTCGGCAGCGACGGGCTCGGGAGGCAGGGTGATGACCGTCCTGGCAGGCGAGGAAGCTCCAAGCTCGTCAGAGTCGGTTGTCGGGAGAGCGTGAGCGGCAGCGGCAGCGGCATCGGCGTAGTCGGCACTGCCGCCGCCGGAAGTCGAGAAGATGGCCGAGATGCGCTTCTTGACGTTGCGCAGCATGCTTGGCTTGCGGGATCGCAGGGGCATCCTGCCCTTTGCCAGAGGACCGTCATGCTCTCGGCAGTCCGAAGCACCGTTGGCCCTGTCCGTCGAGGGCATCTGCGACGCGGCAGACGAATCGACGGCCTGCTCGGGCGCTTCCGACGCCGCCTTTGCTTCCGCGACGCCCTCCTTTGACCCAGCAGGCATGGCATCGGTCGTCTCAAGGCCCAGCGCATTGCCTGCGGATACGGTCTGGTCATCGCCGCGAGCGGCTCGTTCTGCGGTGTTGCTGGGCTGCTTGGCCGGGATGCGAGGGCGGATCGGGCCGAGCCCGAGCTGAGGATCGACGGCCGAGTCCAAGGAAAAAGCCGAGCCGTGCGAATGTCCGCGACCGTGCTGAGCAGCCTTGGTCGCGGTCTCGGCGGAGGTCGCGGCACCCTCATCGTTGGCGACCCTGGACGGCATGTCGGTGCGAGTCAGGGTGCGAGAGAGGCCTGCCGGGAGGCAAATCGTTGGAGAAGGGGTAGGTCACGGTTCCAGGTCAGCAAGCGGGTCGCAACATGACGCGACAGGTACTCGCGCACTCGACGAGGAGCTCACCTTGGCCTTGGTCGTAGGCTGGGACGTCCATGGCGGTGACGATGGCCTCGGAAGGCGACCAAATGTGGGTGGCGCTGTCCGATGGACACTCGTAGGTGAAGAAGGCCGTGGCTGGATGAGAGAGTGCTTGGAAGACTATCGGGGATGCTGTAGAAGGCGATACGGTGGCAGGTTGAAGGGGGTGTTGTGTTGCGTTGAGGGAGGACAGGCTCTGCCTCTTATACCTACTTGGCGCCTGGGCGCCGGAGTGGGCAGGCGGGCAAGCGGGCAAGCGGCTTGCACCACCGAGACGTCCGAGATGAGGTGGGGGCAATGTAGCTGCTTGCCCCCTGGCTCCGCCCACTTGCGTCGAGGTGATTTCCTGATTTCGAGCTGTTGGGGTTGCGACGGGTCACACCGAGCCCGCTACATCCGCGCGCACACGGCTTGCTCGGCGTAGCCGCCACGGCTACCGCCGCCACCGCGCTCTGGGCCAGGCACGGCCAGACTCGAGCTCAACGCGGCACACCCTCTGGCGGCTATTCCCCCGGTCCCATGGGTTACAGCCGCCCTATTCGGGGCCAGCCGTGACTATGGCCGTGCTCGGATGGCCGACCACAGGAGCAAGCAAGATTCCTGATTCGGCACGGCGCCGGGGCCTCGAGCCTGCAGCAGAGCAACGCCTGCGTGCCTGTCCGGTCAACGGGGCAGGCACGACGATCTGCAACAAGAGGTGTCGTTCTCATTATTGTCCTTGAACGGAGGCTCGCAGACGCCAGCAGGCGATCCAGGGCCTCGGGGCATGGGGAACAAGATGTAGGACGGACCACGCAAGCGCCCTCTCGGGTGGGCGATTGAGCGCGTCGCCATGCGCAACGCAGGGCGCCTCGCCTCTGCCTCCGTTGGCTGTCGTGCACTTGGCATGCAGTCGCTGAGAGGACGCTGCGGATCACTGCCAGGCCCTCGTCGGTCCTCGCGCTTGCAGCATTGTGCGATGGCGCGAGACGGGCGCCATTCCAAGGCGCGAGCAGGGACCCAAAGGACGAAGAGGCAGCTGGGAGTACCAAGGACGAGGCTGCAGCAGGCCTGCTGGCAGCCAGGCCGACCGAGGGCTCGCTCAACGCGTCGCGGGACAGGAAGGCCTGGCCAGGCCCCCGGCAAAAGTCTAAAAAAAATCAAAGCATCTGCAGGCACGCCAGCAGTAGGCGCCTGCCTTAGCTTGCCAGTCTGAGGCCTGGCCTGCCTTGCTCGGCCCGCCTGCCTCGCAGCCGCTGCGAGACGCGTCGAGTTGGTTTGCCCACACGCGGCGGCTAGACGAGAGCGCACCACGCCGGCCCCTCGCAAACCAACGGCAGGCAGGCTCAGTCATCGGCAGGGCCTCGTCGACCAGCCAGCTGCCTGTCCACCGCAGCGTCGACGAAGCAGCAGGTGAAGCATGGCAGGCGAGACGAGGGAGGAGCCAGGAAGAAGTGGCGAGGGTGGTGCCACGGCGAGCTACTCCCGAGATCCGAGCGGGGGCGCAGCTGGGGGCGGCCCTCGGTGCGGCCTGCCAGGCTCCGCAGCTTGCCTCGTCGCGAGGGTTGCTAAAGCGTCTTGGCCGCTGGCCTACGAGCAAGGTGGCGCACAGCAGAACGAGCCCCACTCACCATCCCGAGCGACGGGTGGGCAGGCAGGCCGAGTTGGGCCGGGGGGGTCGAGGGCCGGGGGGCGACAGAAAAAGTGGAGCAGGCCGGGCGGGTTGCGGCTGCCTGTCCTGGGCCTGGCGTGGCCTGGCCGCTTTGGCTGGCGGGCTGCTGCCCGGCGGTGGCCTCGCCTGCTTGGCTGGTGCAGCCAGCTGCTTGGGCTCCTCTTCTCTTCTCGCGAGGTGTGTCCCGCGGTGCGCCGCTCGCTCCTGGTCCCCCTCTCCGCCTCTCTTGGTCCCCCCCTTTCGCCTGGCTTGGCCTTGCCTTGGACCCCACCACGACCCGAGCCAGCCAGCCAGCCAGCCAGGTCGGCCCTCTCTGCTTCGTTCGTCATCATCCTCTCCCCTCTTGCTCCTCCTCCACGACCACCACCACCACCACCACCACCATTATCGGAATATTCATCCGTCCCCCCGATCCTTCGCTGCCCACAACACCAGCAGCCCTCCGACACCGTCAACCTGTCGCGATCGCCGACATCACCCCCCGACGCCTGCACCCGCCTCGCATCGCATCAAGGACCGCGCCCTCTGTCGCTCTCCTATCGCGCCTGCCCAATCATTCCCACCACACCCCGCCATCCAGATCGACCGCGCGGGCATCCTCCTGACTGGCATCAGAAGCTTTGACGCACCGCTCCTGTGCGACTCGGACCACACCGGTCCTCGCTCCTGCCTCCTCTTCTGCGGCGTCCCTCCTTCCCGCCCAGACGCGCCAATCAGCAGCTGCTTTCAGGCCTACCCTCGTCGCCGTGCACACACCGCCGCACATACCCATCGCGCCCACTTCTGTCCACGCGTCATCTCCGGCTCCGCCGCCGAAAACTGCTTTGCACCCCCCTCGTTCGACGTCGCCCAGACTGCTGCGCGCCGCTCGGTGCGGGCTCGCGTCTTGCACCGCCGTACCACCTCTTCCCTCGTCAAGAGCTCACTGGTCAAGCAGGACTCAGGCTTGCCGCCAACGCGACCTCGCTCGCGTGGCCCAGCAACCCCCTCCTACACGCTCGCCGCAAGCACCCTCGCAGCCACACCGCCGTCATGCCGCTCGTCAAGAGAAAGATCGTAGAGATGGCGCCGCCGCCAAAAGCCAAGGGCAGCGACGACCCCGAGGTCTTCTACCTCGATGCCACTGGCGAAATCTTTTCCGACTACGAGTGAGTGGTCGCCCGGCGTCGGCACGCCCGGCCCGTCAGTCCATCCCGGCCGCGCGAAAACTGAACCCCTGCGCTGCCGGCCTCTGATCTCCCCGCCGTCCCCGCCCCCGCCCCCGTCCCTCTGCTGCTGCCAGCGCGTACGTCAAGCGCCTGACCTTCTACAACCAGCGCTTCTTCCAATGCGAGCTCACCGGCAGGGTCAACCTCACCTTTTTCGAGGCCGCCGAGAGCGAAAAGCAAGAGTCGATTACGCTGCACAAAAAGTTCCCCGAGCCGCTCAAGGGGCCCGTCCTTCGCTCCGTCCAGTTCAGTGAGTGAACCTTGCGCCCCGACACACGCGCGCCGTCGATGCGTATCGCCAGCCGTCAGAGCGCCGTTTGGCTGAGATCTATCGCCGTCTTCGTCCTCCGTGCCGCACCGTGCCGCACCGCAGAGGTGACTGGACGCCTCGACAACCTCGTCGACCTCGTCTTTGACCGCTTCAAGGACCGCTTCTTTGCCAACGAAGCTGTCTTTGTCGAGCTGCAGGGCGACCGCTACTACGCCAGGATCAAGGAGGTGTTCCCGCCCAAGTCGGTGCTCAAGACACACCAGGATGCGCACTCCGGCTCCGGGTCGCCGGCAAAGGCGGGACCGAGCAACGGCGTCAAGCATGAGGACGCGGAAGCGGCTGCTTTGGCGTCCGACTCGGCGCTCGACGGCGAAGAGGCGGGCGCCGCGTCAGCGGCCAACAAGGCGACGATGTCGACGGCCGACGTCATCCATCGCCTTGGAGTCGACCTCACCCTCGGGCCTGCCCAGGCCAACGCGCTCGACGATCCGACGCAGTACATCTACCGCATCCAGCTGGTCGACGACGAGGGCAGCTTTACCGGCAGCCTGATGGAGGCGTCGGCCGACCGGCTCAGCCGCGACCGGCTGACGTTCTCCAAGACGATCCTGCGCAAGTACATCCGCGACTGCGTCGTCCGCGATGCCAGCGTCGGCGCACCCTGGACCGTCAAGACGTGGCTGGCGGAAAAGTACGACATCCCCACGCGGCCGTCCGACGAGCTGGTGCAGCAGAACGAGTCGATCCGCGACGCCAAGCTGCTTAAGCGCAAGAAGCTGCTGGCCGAGGCCGAAGAGTCGAGCGCCAAAAAGAAGGCCAAGACGTCGGCCGCGTCGAAAAAGGCCGAGGCGACCGAGGCCAAGAAGAGCGCCGCGGCCGAAAAGAAGCGGCTCGCCGACGAGGAAAAGGCCAAGGAAGAGGAGCGCCTCAAGGCCGAGCGGGAGCGCAAAAAGCAGGTCAAGTACCCTATCGAGGACCTCGACCTCGACCCCATCACGCCGCGGGAGCTCAAGTTCCAGGTCGAGGGCGAGCTGCCACGGCGCCGGCAGCGTCCGATACCCAGCCGCGGGCCTGCCGCCCTGCCCGTGCCCGTCGCCGTGTTCGAGGAGTTTATGGTGTCGTACTACTTTCTCGTGGCGCTCGGCAAGCCGCTCTCGCTCTCGGTCTTTACGCTCGACGACTACGAGCATGCGCTGCGGCACTCCACCCACGAGCCGCCGTGCGCCCTCATCGCCGAGATCCACGCGGTGCTGATCAACACCATCGTCCGCGACGGCAGCCACTCCAAGGACATGGCGCCCGCCGCCATCGCCAGCCGGGCCGGCGCCCGAGAGGCCAACGGGTCGGTCGCGCCCAGCGAGAACGGCGATAGCGTCGCTGGTCCTTCGCGCGCCGGATCCGCCTTTGACGAGATCGATGGCGACGCTGACGGCGAGGGGGACCGCGCGGCCAACGGCAACGGCACGGCGCGGGACTCGACCGTCGCCGAGATCCTACGAGCCGCCAGGGAGCTCGGCAGAGGGTCGGAAAAGAGGCTGCTCCGCGTCGAGGACGGGCGTGCCGGCTGGGAGGCGCAGCTGGCGGCGCTCCTGGCGCGGAGGTCGAGCCCCGAGACGTGCCCACGCCTGGTCGGAATCCTCTCGCACCTCACCGGCATCCAGCATCCGGAGGGCCACATCGACGGTCAGTGGATCGCCGACACATACACGAGCGTCGTGGAGCGGTACCCGGTGCTGCCGCTCGAGGACAAGATCCGCATCATCAACCTGCTCTGCGAGCTCACCGTCATGACCAAGCCGGTCAAGGCTTACTTTGAGGAGTGCGAGGCGCAGGTGACGGAGCTGCGCAAGGAGAAGATCGAACTGGGCAGGGAGAGGAAGAAGCTGTGAGTGCTCGTCGCGGTGTCCGCAGCAGGCCCGCGGGCAGGCGGACAGGCGGGCAGGCGGCGGCCCAGACGATCGATCTGCTGACCAGCGTCGCTGCCCTTGCATTCTTACTGCAGCGCCGAGGAGAGGGAGGCCTTTGAAGGCGGCCAGAAGAAGGACGACGCCAAGAAGGAAGAGGACCACGCCGGCGAGGCCGAGGACGGCTCGACGGCCATGCCGGTCGACGAAGAGGGCGACGAAGGCGACGACGACGACGACGGCGACTCGGAAAAGGACGAGCTAGAGTCGTCGGACGGCGACGATGACGACGGCGGCGGCGGCGGCGGCAGGAGGGGGAGTCGCCTCTCGACGGCCGACGCCTCGGACTCGGGCTCGGACCGCTTCCGGCGGCCGTACGGCTCGTCGTCTCGGCAGGAGAAGCTGCGGGAAAGGGCGATGCTGCGCGAGGCCGAGGAGGCTGCGCGGGCGGCGTCGCTGGCCAAGGAGCGCGAGGCGCACCGGGCCAAGCTGGCCGAGAACAAGCAGATCAATGCGGCGCGCAAGCGGCTCGACGACGAGGAGGCCAAGCTGTGGAAGCGCGAGGAGGCCATCGAGCGCGAGTTCCGCAAGGTGCTGCTGGCGCCGCGCATGATCCCGCTCGGCCGCGACCGCTTCTACGCCCGCTACTGGTGGTTTGACGGCGTCGGCAGCACCTCGCTCGTCGGCGGCGGCGGCAGCGTCCTGTACCAGACGGGCAGGATCTTTGTCCAGGGCCCGAGCCGCGAAGAATGGGGGCTGGCGCTGGGCGAGCGCAAAAAGGAGCACCTCGACGCGAGAAAGGCCGAAGAGATTGGCCCCGAGGGCGACCTGGCCGTCGACGAGTGGGGCGTCTACACCGAGACCGAGCAGGTGCGTATCGCAGGGGCGACGAGGAGGGGGCCAAACAGGTGGGCGAACGAGCCAGCGGTGGCTCAGGCCTTCCTGTGCTGTGCTGTGCCCTGCCCTGGCGTGTCTGGCCCTCGACGTGTCTTCTGACCCGCATCTCCGTCTCCCTCGCTCTTTCCCCCCGCCCCCTCTATCACCTCGTCCCACGCACAGATCGACGAGCTGCTGTCCTGGCTGCGCGTAAAGGGCCACCGGGAGAACCACCTCAAGTCGCAGCTGCTCAAGTTCCGCTTCTACATCCAGGGCGGGCTGCGCAAGCGCAACGCCGACCTCCAGGGCGGGTGGAGGGACCAGCTCGAGACGCGGCGCAGCAGCCGCTCCAAGAGCGAAAACGCCGGCAGCAGGCGGGCGAGCTACATGGCCTGGCGGAACGCCGCCGCCGAGCGCGACAGGAAGTAGCCCATCCCGGCCTGGCAGAGTACCTAGTCGAGTCGGAAGCCCAGCAGTGTTTGGCCAGAGCAGCCCCGGGGAAGGGGGGCGTGCGTGCGGCAGGCAGGCAGCGAGCGCTCCAAGGTGGGCGGCCAGCCGGGCAGGCAGGCGCGGGTGTGGGTGTGGGCGCGGGCAGGCAGGCAGGCATTTGAAATGCATCCAGCGGCAATACAAATCCGAAAGGCCCATTTCGAAATATATAACCAGCCGTCGAATACAAGCTTGAATTGGCAGTTCAAATCCTAATCCCGGGCGCTGCACGTGACGAACGCCGAAAGAACCGTTCCTTCGTCCAGTCACGTGCCGGGGGTGCCCAAAAACTCGCGACCTAGAATTTTTCCCTGCCAAAAACGGGCCAATTTCGAAAATCCAGAGTCGGCGAGGGGGTCTCTGCACGTGACCACTTTTGAATACAAGATCCGGATTGTAGTCGATTTGAATGTTGTATTGCCCCGTTTTGAAATGCCGATCCAACCGCGGGGCTAGTGGGGGGCCAATACAAATTCGATTTCTGGGCCCCAACTTCCCCCCTGGCCTCGACGATAGAGGGCCCGGCTGGCCTTGCTCGACCGACCGGGCACGATGGCCCGACGAAGCTGGCGCGAGGGAAATACCAGGAGACGCTGGAATGGGCCAGCAAGCAGATGGGGCAATGAGAAACAAGGGCAAGCCTGACTTGACTTGGCTGGACTGGACCGACTGACTGACTGAGCAAACCGATACGAAATAGAGAGAGAGGGAGAGGGAGGGAGGGACGGGGATCGATCCATCGTCTATAAAAACAACGTCGAGCGAGCGGTCCACGCCCACCGACGTCGGCTCGTCACGGCGCGGAATCACCGCTTGAACGAGCTGCTGAACCGGCCAAAGTGGCCGCTGGGCCTGGGGGTCACGGGCGACGTGGGCGAGGTGGGCTTCTCGTCCTCCTCGACGACGCAGCCCAGCGGTGCGCCCTGCGGCTCGGCACCACCCAGGCCGCCGCGCGCGCCGCCACCGAGCACCGCCTCC